AGAGTGAGCTGCTGGTTTACACAGAGAGGGAGAGTGTTTGAGCCGAGTCCTTCACTCCTGCCACAGTGGTACATGTGCACCCATGTTTAAACAACACAATGTGTAGCAGCTAGATCTTGGAAAAGAACCCAAATGCTCATCAATTGAGGAATGGATAAAAAAGATGTGGTCCTTTTATACTATTGAATTGTACTAAAGCCATAAATAAAGACAAATGTGAGACTTTTATAGGTAAATGGATGTATCTCAAGACGATACTCAAGTAAAATTAACCAAACTCACATTTGTAAACATTAGATTGTCAAGTATGAGAAGATGAAAGAATAAATTAGATCCAAAATGTATAATAGATACTGTCAAATGGTAAGAAACTATTGAAAAAGAAGGATAAACTGAGATAGGAGACAGGAAAAAAAAGAAATGGAAAAGAAAATAGATATAGATATAGATATAGATATAGACAGAGACAGAAACAGAGACAGAGACAGAGGTAGGGATAGAGATAGAGATAGAGGTAGATAGAGAGAGAGAGAAAGAGAGAGAGAGAGAGAGAGAGAGAGAGAGAGAGAGAGAGAGAGAGAGAAGATAGTTAAGATTATTATACTGTTTGGGGCCAGAGAGGTAGCTCAGTGACTTAAATGCCTGCTGGTAAGCACAAGGTCCCAAGTTTGATCCCCAGTTAAAAAAAAAAAAAAAAAAAAAAAAAGATTGTTATGTTGTTAGTATCTCTTGGTTTATTGAAAAGAAAAATTAGTACTAATTTTGTTTGGACAGTTAAGGTCCTAAATCTCGTACTCTGAGTAACTACTTTGAAGATAACAGTACATAATGTATTAACTATTGCTACTCTATTATCTTTTTTTGAAATTATGTTGTTTTTTTCTCTTTAAAATAAAAACAAATTAAATGCATAAGTTTTCAGTGATGCTAAAGATAATAGAGTTAATACAATGAACAAAAATAACACTATAAAATTTTAATTAACAATTTCTAAAAAACTAGATCAACAACTAGACCATGTTTGGAACAAGAGCATAATTGAACTTTTGCTGAGAGGTCTTTAGGAAGACAAGGAATTTGACAGAATCAGCCTCAATGAGGAATTTTTGGCAGATGGATATTAGGATAAAAATGGGGCTAGAAAGCAATAGAAAGGCCTGAAAAGAAAAAGCTGCATAAGAAAGGATTTTAATTGCAGAATGATACGCCGCTTCCATGTGGCTAACTATATTTTATTGTTATGCCTGCCTGTAGTGGTTGATCCACAGTGTGAATCCAAGAAGTTGAGAAGCTTAACTAAATCGGCCCAGCAATTCCACTCCCTAGGGTGTAGAGGGACCACCCTGGTGTGCTCATCACTGAAAGGATACAAAAGAAAAATGAGGAAGGATAGAGGATTCCATTTGCTTTGGAGGAGCTCTGGTCTTCTCTGTCAGCTGGAACATCTTCTGGCTTCTAGCACAGACTCCGGCTTCCACGTTGAACCCTTCAGCCTTCTGGTGTAGACTCATTAGTCTTGCATCACAGACTTGTCAGCCTCCTGAAGCAGACTTGCACAGAACACTGCAGTGAGCTCCAGAGCTTGGACTGCATCCTTCAGTCTGCAGTGTGCAGACGCCCTCTGCACACGTCCTCATCCAATGCTGTGCCTGACCATCGTAAGCCAGTCTTGTACTTTCTTGTACATTTGTGCATCTTGTTCAATACATTTGTACCATCTATTCCTCTAGTAAAACCCTGGCTGCCCTACTGTTGATTTTCAGCTTTTAAATTAACTGCCCAGAAAATGTTACCTGACATTCAAAAGACCAACGGCCAATGTTATCTGAAGTCTTGACTCAAAAGGTGCTTAATTCTGACCTCATACATGATTACTTTATTTCCTAGTGCTACAGTCATAGTTTACAAAGGAAATAATTAAATACATGACACATAATTTTTAGTATTATTTTATAATTGTCACCCCAAGAGTCAAATGCAAAAGAGTGCAGGAAATCTGTCCACATACTAAAGACCAAAAGAATTCAGCCAAGGGCCTGGATCTCATGGCAATGTCCTGGATGAGTCCAGCTCAAGACCAAGGTTCATGGCAATGCCACCCACAAATCCAGCTGGAGGCCTAGAGCCCACAACAAAGTCTCCTGCAGGCCTGCTTCATGGATCTGTGCTAAAAAGGCCCAAAGGTCCATGGTGGAAGCTAAAAAGTCTGTGCCAGCAGGCTGAGGGATCGGCACCGGAGTCAGGAAGTGATGCTCAAAATGAGGACCAGAACTCCCCCCATGAGCTGCAGCCATCCTCAGCAACAACAGAAACCTGAACTCCTCCAGCAGTGACAGCAGCCAAGTTCATGTCAGAAAAGCTTGCATAACAGGCTGGCTCATCCAGAAGAGCCAACAGTGCCCCGGAGATCCAGCAGCCCTCTAACAGCTCTTTTTCTTCTTTTCCACTTCTCCTTTTTATTGTGCTGGCAACAATCCTGAGGTGGGCCTTCCGTACCCAGACTGCTCTGATTCAGTTCAGTTGGGTAGCACAAGTTATCCACCAGCTGTCAATTCGCCACACTATGCTTACTAAAAGACACCAAAATGTTATCTAAGGATATTGAAATGTGGGGGTATTTTAATTTGTTTATCCATTTTAGTCATTACTGTTTCCTAGATCTTCTAAAATAGCTATTTCAGTAGTCTGCTACATGATTGATCTACAGTGAATCACGCTTCAACCTTGTGAGAGTCATGGAAGATGATTGTGTGTGTGTGTGTGTGTGTGTGTGTGTGTGTGTGTTGTATCTTGCTAGGGATTGGACCCAGGGATGGTTACACTGAACTACAGATAAAAAGACCTCCAATTCAAACTCAGGAATGGCTGCTCCAAAGCTAGTTATTTCTGTGGTCTGTATTTTCTGGTCCTTTTCTTTTTTCTTTCTTTCCCTTTTTTTTATTTTTTCAGTACTGGGATTGAACTCAGGACCTTGCACCTGCCAGGCAAGTGCTTATTCTACTGAGCTATATCCCCAGCCCCAAGATATCTTCCCAGCCCCACTTATTAGTTTTTGGAGTTGAGTTGTTGGTGTCAGGAATTTGTTAGTTATCTTCTGGCTCTAATAGGACCATGAGTGTGTGTGTGTGTGTGTGTGTGTGTGTGTGTGTGTGTGTGTGTGTGTTGATAGCAAAGAAAGCAGTACTTGATGATATTTTCTATTAATACTTCTAGGGCTAAATCATGGGCTGGGAGAGTGTTTCTAGCCAGCTCATCCTAGAGTTTGCTGAGGGCCAGCACTGTGGAAACAAAGCATCTTTATGTGTCAGAGCCCACAAATTCATCTTCTTTAGCTAACATTTTTCTAAACAAAGGTGAGGAACCTGCAGTAAGTGGAACAGAGTCCTGGGCACCAAATGTCTACGATGGAGCCAGGTCTCCTCTCTTGTGTACTCTTTTCCTTGTTGGTGCTGGGGTTTGGCCTCATGGCCTTGTTACATACTGGGAAAGTGCTGTCTCACTGAGCTACAGCCCCAGCCTCTCCAGCGCACTTCAGAGGGTCACTGTTTTTAGTACTTCATGGAGGTCAGGCAATATCCTAAAAACAGCAGTTTCTGTTTCCCATCCTCTCAATGGAGAAAATTAAGAAGATACCTCACTCGCTGAAATGTAGCTCTCTGCACACCATAGACTTAAAGGCTGAGACTTAGACACATACTTTTTCACAGCAGGTTCAGGCTCATCTCCCAATAGGCAGCCTTTTGGAGAAGAGCTGCAGACTGTCATGAGCACTGAGAGGGTGGGACTGAGGAGGTTTCTGGCTCAAATATTGCTGTTCTATTTCTGGTTCAGATATTGCTAAAATAGTTAATAACTCCATTGCAGTCAGGGTTTACAAGAGAAAAGATTTAATACAGGACAAATAATGTATAGATTATCTTGTAATATTCACTCAAAGAGTCAAATGCAAGAGTTCAGGATATCTGTCTGTGCACTAGAAACCCAAAGAATTCAGCTGAGGGCCTGGCTCCTAAGCAATGCCCTGCATGGTCCAGCTGGAGGCCTAGAGCCTGCGGCAATGTCTCATTGAAGTCTGTATCAAGGGTCTGCCCTGGGAAGGCCCATTCATCAGTGGTCGAAGCTAGAAAGTCTGTGCCAGTGGGATGAAGGATCTGTGCCAGCAGCCCAAGGGATCAGCCAGGAAGTGATACTCAAAATAAGGAACAGACCTTCCCCAAGAGAGCCACAGCCATCCTCAGCAACAGAAAGAACCTGAACTCCTCCAATGATGAGAATGGACAAATTCATACCCAGAAAGCCAGCATGACAAACTTCTGCAGAAGAATCAACAACACACCACCTCCCCCTCCAGGTCTCTGTCTATGCTGTTGGCAACAATGCTCAGCTGCCTCTCCACACCCAGCACCACACTGATGCAGTTGAGATGGTTTCTGATTAGTTAAACCACCACAGTCAGAATCCAGTCTCCTCTACCATCATCCTTTCCATGCTTTCCAAAATTGGGCAGTGAGACAGAAGAGAAAAATAAGCAACAAAGTAGTCTAACAGGACAGCTTATATGTATCACAAGAGTATTGAAAGTTTGTGTATAATAAATAATAACCTGGTAGGCAAAATTTTTCCAAATCTAAAAATATGTATTTCCTACATTGTGTGTGGAGTGGATATAGGTATGCATAGTGTATACATGTGCACACATACATTTTATGTGTGTCTATGTGCAAAAGGGGGCACACCAGCAATCTAGAAAGAAAGTTCATAAAACCACTGATTCACTCACCTTGCAGAGTTGAGTGATAAGGGACAATGGTGCAATAAAGGTATCATATCCTACTCCTTTATAATTTTATACTATTTTTTAAATTTTCTATGTAAATGAAATATCTATTTAAAAATAAACAACAGGAAAAAATAAAAAATAAGCAACAGGAACTTTTAAATAGTATAAGAATTATTTCACAAACACCCTCAAAAATGAAAAAATAAAATTTTAGAAAGCTTTAGATGCTTTGGGTCTTCCTTCCTGGAGTGATTGCCACCCAGCAGAGGGATTCTGCGCAGGTGCAGGGCCAGATGTCTCTCTGTGCAGCACCCACAATGCAGTAGTACACAGCAGAGTCTTCCAGAGCAGCCTGGGGCAGCCTCAGGGTGCTGGACTTCCTATCATTAGGGATAAACAGAGATGCCACTTCATTGGCCACATTTGTTTTATATCCTTGAATCACAAACTGTGGTCCCTGGTGGTGGACTTGTCGGTACCAGAAGATGTACTCATTTGTAGCAATGTTGGGGTGGGTACAGGACAAGTTCACTCCTTGTCCCTCATAGGAGTCCATGGAGAAGGGCTGAGTGGTCTTAGCAAGGCTTCCAGTGCCTGTGGGAGTAAACACAGTGCTGGCACCAGTCCTGGAAAAGGTGGATTAGAAGGCCCTTCTTACTCCCCAACGTTCTCTGTCACATTTGAATCACCCCATCCCCAACCTCCCCACCCTCCACATATGCACACAATTTACTTCTCATCTGTGTTCCAGGATAAAAATATTCTTTAGATTTAATCTAAAGGGGGGCCCACGACTACCTATGCAGAGTTAGAACTTTGGTTTCTCTCTCCGATGGACAAACCTAGGGATCAGTAGTCCAGAGTCACTTTATTGCATGAATCACCCCTTATACAAAGACTTGGACACAGTAGGAGAAAAATAATACTTAGGACTCAAAGCTTTCCCTTGACCTTGCATAAAGAGCAATTGGGGAGCCGGGGAGATAATGCAGTAGAATAAGTGCTGCCTGGCAAGCACAGGATCCTGAGTTCAATCCCTGGTACCCCCCCCCCACAAAAAATAGAATAAAGCAACAGCAAATTAGCAGCAGGCCAGGATAAAAATCTCTGTTCAACATCCTCAGGCCTGGATCCAAATTCCTCTTTATCCAAAATAACTCACCCAAGATCAGAAGCACAGTCACTTTTGTCACCTGCTTCATACTTTAGGCAGATACCAGGGCTGAGGTTCTAGTCTCTCTTGCTGAGTTGGCCCAGAACTGAAAGAGGAAGCAGGGACACAGCCTGGCAGCAGCCACCATGGCTCACTCTAGCAGCTGTCACCTGGGGCTGTCCCTAGGAAAACAGCCAACCACAAGGCACAGCTCCACAGAGTGCAGCTTCCCTTCGAGGTTGAGCTGACCCCCAGAAAGAGCAAGGGGATAAAATCGGCCAGCACAAGAGCCTGGTAGCCAGAATTTCATTTTAGATATTTGCTGAGGTCTAACCGGCTAGACATTTGACATATGTATAGATATAGATTAGGATATATAAAGATGTAGAGATTTATAGATACCTCAGCAATAAAGAAGGATAAGTTTGAGTCATTTGAAGGAAAATGGATGTATCTTAAGACCATAATGCTGAGAAAAATAAGGCAGACCCAGATAGTTAAATGTCCTGTGGTTTCTCTTATATGAGAAAATATAAGTAATTTAAAGAAAAAAATGAAAGAGTTGAGAAACGCAGAGAATTTGTAGAGACAGGAAGGGGATCAAAGGATAGAGGAGACAGGAAAGAAAAGTTAAAAGGATCAAGATGCAACATGTATATGTAGCAATCCCTCACCATGGATATATTCACTATGTATCACAAAGATAAACTAATCAACAAGTAAACATGTATGTGAAACTAAATACCAACAGAATATATTTCAAAAAGTTGAGTCCAGGAGTGGTGGCATGAGCCTGTAATCCCAATGCTGGGAAGATTGAAAACAGGAGGATCACTATGAGTCCAGTCTGCGTAGTGAGACCCTTTACCAAATATATAAAAAAATAAAAATAAAAAGCCTAAGGAAAAGATTTTGAATATTTTCACAATAAAGAAATAATAATTAGGGCCGACCAAATAGCTCAGAGGATTAAAGCGTCTTCTTAGGCAGATGCAGCAGCTGGGGTTCAAACCCCTGCTGCCATGCCAGCCCCACACCAGCCCCACCCCCAGGGCACTCTGAGACAGAGATTGAGACTGGGCATGGTGGTGCACACCTATAATCCCAGCGCGTGGAAGGCTGAAAACAGGAGAATCACTACAAGTCAGACCTATGCAGTGAGATCCTGTAGGGCCTGTAGACCCTTACTAAAATACAAAAAAAAGAAAAAGAAAGAAAAGAAAGGAAAAGAAAAATAATAATTATTTGAAGAGAGATATGTTTACCTTGCATCAATTAAACATCACATAATTTATTCCTGCATCAAAACATCACACACCATAAACACCATAAATATGTATATTTGTACTTTTCTGCATCAGCCAAAAATAGTTTAACAAAGAATGTAAAAACAATTATGATTTTTTTTCTTCATGCACAGCTCCCCAGGATGAAAGTAGTCATTACATACTCAAACCACAAACATGTACTAGTAAAACTTTTTCTAAAAAAAGAAATATAGTATCAACTCAATAACATAAAAAGATTTTTTTTTTGTACCAGGGATTGAACTCAGGATCTTGTGCTTGCCAAGCAGGCATCTAAGCTGCTGAGCTATCTCACAGACCCAAAAAGGAATATTTTAAAAATCTTGGCATTCAGTAAAAGAGCCATATCCAGAAGACACCATTCAGTTAATGAGTCAGTAAAATGCCACAATAAACATGCTAGGTATCCACATTGACGTGGAAAAGCAGCGTGCTGTTTGAGTTCTTTGCCCACGTAGGAAGGAATTGGGAAAAAATCTGAAAAATTTGGTAGATGCCTCCTCTAAAGGTCAAGATTTATCCACAGTGTTCTGAATTGGGGGAAAAGAAAGAAAGAAAGAAAGAAAGAAAGAAAGAAAGAAAGAAAGAAAGAAAGAAAGAAAGAGAAAAAGAGAAAACCCTGCATTTCCCCATTAAAAAAACAGTAAATGGTAATGATTTCTAGCAATGTTTGGCAAAAAAA